CAGAGCCCGGCTTGTCGGGCCCGGGCTGCCCGTGTCTCCTCTCGTGTTGGTGTCCTTTAGCAACCACCCCATGGTGAAACCCAGACCCTAGCAATGACTGCTTCAGGGTGTTGTGCTCTCATAATACCCCCAACACCACCTTGTTCCTGTGCAGCCCTCCCCAGCACGCCCAGTGGAGGACACAGAAATATCCCCATTTCTACATGAGTCCTGTCCTGTTATAAGCGTGTTCCCCTCAGGACTCCCTTGGCCACACCTGATAGCGCAGTGCTGTGGGAAAGCTGATTGCAAATCCCCTGGCAGTGTCCTGCTCGTCTTACAACAAACGTAGAATTATCTTTTCTTGTGGTACCCTGATGGAACAGTGACCCAGGCTGGGGTGGGATGCCTCAGGAAGACTGTTTCCCACTATGACTTCCTTTTGTGATCACTAATCTCTCGTTCTTTGTCTGCCATGCAGTTTGCCTCCGGATCCAGATCAACCCCCAGAACAAAGGCGAGTTCCAAGGCATTTCACCAGAGCGGGCATTTGCTGATTTCCTCTTTGCCAACACCATCCTCCATCTCGTTGTCATCAATTTTGTGGGCTGAGCCCTAGAAGAGACTGTGAGGTACTGATCTGTGGGGTTACAACAGAGGCAACCACAGCTCACGTGACTTCAGTACTTTTGTAGAGTTAGGGGAGAACTAGAAAGATAGTGAATTCAGGAGTCCAGGCTCCCAGCTTTGTCTTGGCCAAGTACGCTTAAGCTGTTATCCTCTAGGTTGACACAGGGTTAGGATTTACAGCTTTCTGGTTTTGTGCATGTATTTTTTGACTTTTAAAAGTCAGTTTAACTAGGAGTGTTACAGAAACCTACCCACATTTCTCTCTTATGAGAGAAATACCCCATTCCTCTTTGCAAGAGGGGTTTTGGGAGCTGGAACTCCTGGGGTCTGTGAGCATTGTCCTGTTTGGAGGCCATGATATGACTGGTGCCCAAGCCTTGAGGCTCTCAGCAGGTGAGAGGAGGGAGTTTGGGACAGGGAGAGTTGGTGCTGGAAAGTTACTGTTGCAACCAGTTTGGTGCTCAACAGGGCTGTCATTACTGTTGCAAGGGCCACAAGATCATTGGAGCTTGGGAGGTGTTTCCCTCTGCAGAAACATGGCTCATGTTGCCTTTTTCCCTTTCCAGGTCTTGAACTGCTCTTGAGCTGTGATTACACAGCCTGGCATTGGGAAGTGCTGTTCCCCAGCAGACCTGCTTCCTTGGTGGAGGAAGGGAATGCCAGGCTCAAGATTTTTCCCCACAGACTGTACTATGGAGGGATCTGCTGCCTCATTACAGTTACTGTAATCATTTCCGTCAATAAAACCCTTTATAATACTGCAGTCTTTTCCCTTTTGGTGACAAATACAGAGGTTCTTCTGACACCCAAGTTCCCTCTCAGGCACGACTCCCTGTTTTTACCCCTCTCCCTCCTTACCCAGCAGGCTTTTTTCTGTGCCCCAGTTTCAGAGAGAAGAAGGAAACAAATCATCATGGAAATTCAATTGTCATCCACCCTTTTCATTTCTCTGTTTCCTGCCCCTCTATCTTATGGAAAGTATGTTGTCAGAGTGCCCCACGGTTTCAAAGGTATGGAAAACTTGGGTTAGGCAGTGGTTAGCAGTCATGAACAGAAGGAAGCGGAGGGTGTCCTCTAGCATGTCCCCAGGTGTACCCATCTTCTCCCATATCCCTCAGAGGCAGGTGGGGCACAGGTGGATGTCCCAGCTGGAGTTACAGGCTCACTGGGGCCTGGCAGTGATACAGTGTTAGCTTTTCTTCAGTCTGGTGTGCTGGTGAACCCAAGGGCGTTGGAAGGGGCTGCCAAGCTGTGTCAGTGCCTCAGAGCTGCACTTGAGCTGTTCTGGGTTTGTGGAGAAGGTCAGCCCTCATTGAAAGTCCTTCCCCCTGTAAAGCATTGTGAAGTGCTTAAACTCAATGGTTTTGGCTCTCAGCTATTGCCTCCTGCAGCCCAAGCTCACTCCTGCATTGAGGTCAAATGCTTCTTTGTCCTGATGAGAAGTTAGAGCTCTGTGGTGATCTGATTATAGGCACAGGATGAGATGTTAACCCTAGGTAGCCCCTCCACGCCCTTGGTTGCAGAATTTACCTGGGTTACCTTCATGCGTGAGGCTCCATCCTTGCACTGATCCTGCTTCACGCTTGTCTGGTTTGCTCTGCAACTGAAACACTGGGTGGGTAAAATATGTGTTGAGGCAATGTGACAAAGAAATGTGTGTCTGCTGGCACTCAGGATGTAAAATGGGGTCTGATGGCTTCAACCTCTCAGCTACCGTTTACCCCCTTTTCCCTTCCAGCATTTCCAGCTGTGCTGCAGCCATTAAACCCATAAAGGTGTGAAACCTGGGGCTCTAAGTCTCTTGCCTAACATACCTGTGAGGAGTGAGGCAGCAGGGCCTTTACGGTCCCAAAGGACACTGCCTGGGTCTGTGGAAGGAGCAGAGAATTCACGCCGGCCCTGACACCACCTGGCTGGCCCCAGGCATTGAGCTGGGTTTGTTTGCAGCGGTGCCAGCTCTGCACCGAGGGGCAGCGGGCAGGGCGCGGAGCAGCCTGAGCCCCC